TGGTACAATTTTGAGATATGCTGGAGAAACTTTAATATCTCTTGATAATGTCTGAAATAAAGACCTCTGCTAATCAGGGAAAACAAGACAAAAGCAAATATCACATTTTCAAGAACTTTTTTTAAAAGTTTAAATAGATAAAAATGCCATTAAGTGGAGAATATGAATCTATATTAGTGCATAAGTGGGCATTGTTGATGATCTTTATTATCTGCCATTTGCCTTAAGCTTACATTAATCTGATGTTATACTGCCATCTGCTGGATGAAATCTTCTCTCACAGTTATGGCAAGATTTGTACATTTAAATTTGATTAGTTGTCTGTTTCGTGAAAGCTTATAAATCCTTTTAGGAATTAAAGTTAAAAATATTTTCACTTACCAATTGGAAGGCTGTCAATTCCAAGTAAAAGCTGCACTGCAGATACATTGGAAAGAAAAAGCATTTCAAACAAAAACAAAGAAAAATCAAAGCAAAGGAAAATCCTTCTAGGGAATATTGTAAGCTGAATAAACAGCTTTTGTATTGAATAATTTGTTCTAATAGTATTAAACATTGTACCTTTTTGGGAATGCACAGCTTGGCACAAAAAAATTATAATTGCATTTCTTAACAAATAAAGAGAAAGAAAATAGACTAAAACATATGATGAAACAAAGAGAACCAAAGACTTCAATGAAAATGTCATGCAAGTAAAACTTTCTGGAGTGCAATGAGCTTTATACAGTAATTTGGTTTTCCAATAGGGGGTACAAATGGGTCAATTGCATTTGCCTTCCCAATAAAACTACAGCAGCGCCTCATTGTTCTGCAAACTAACAGAAAGACGGTCAAATTGGTTGAAGAGTTTCTGGATTTGTGTTATGGCCATTTTGTCACATGAACCTGCATGTTAAGGGCTTTTATCCTGCAGGAAGGCGGACCTCCTCCTCAGTATCAAGCCAGTTCCAGCCTCTAACAGATGTTCTTCCAGGTCTGGCCTCACTCTGCTGTCTTGTGTAATTGCTCTCACCTGATTATGGTGTCAGTATCAATCTGTTCAGTTAAAAACTCGCCAGTCCCTTGCCAGATCCTCCCAGTTTCAAACTTGGTTTGTTTCTGTTTCCAGCTCAGCATGGCTCTCTGCTGATTGTTTCCTGTTTCTCGGCAGTTCGTACCACTTTGTGTTTCACCCCATGTTTTCATGTCGTTTTAATATACACAACCTTGACATGATTCTACTGCCCTCCTTCCTGTGTTAGAGTAATTCTACATGCAATTCTCACTTTATTTGTGGAAAGAACAATTGGAGAAAATGTGTTAACATTCTACATTTTTGTTAATGTGATCTAAATTTAAGTTTCATTTGAACATGTGAACATTTAAATGCATATTTCTAGGTTTGTGAGAGCATTTGTTTGTGTTCAAATATAGTAAAGCAGATAATAAAGTACAAAGTACTTTGTTCCTGAACTACAACACACAAATCTCAGTTGAAGGTTTTTATGGGTCATCCAGTAATAAACTCTTTGCTAAGCTTCCAAATTTATTTTTCAACAAATTCAGAAATTAGCATTTTTATTTGTTTATTTTTGAAACAATGATTTTTAATGAGCTGCAGAATTTTTTTTGTTGATCTTTCAACATGCAGGCAGCTCAACGTCTATGTAGACATGCACATAAAAATAAACAGCCATGTACCAGAACACAAATCGATACATGGCAGCTTCATGAACTACTGTGCCACTGTGTTGTAATTTAACAGTATGAAGTCCAAAGTTACAATTAGCTGAATATATCGATGTTTCCTGCAAGAAGAGCCAGTAGCTCAGCATCTCTTTATGCTGAGTCGCTTCTGATTCACTGCAAGTACTATCTGACAAAGCTGGAAAAAAGCAAAGCAACGCTTTTATTTATCATTCCAGGAAATTTTATTTGAGAAACTCCCTGATTTTAAAGGTGCTTCAAATGACTCACGTTGGTTTTACTCCCATGTGTGGGAGTCAAACTTCTCTGGAAAAAAAAAAAAAAATAGTTACAAAGTTTAATCTTTTTTTTTTTGTTTTATTTCTCATATAAATGTGTTTAAATTAGCTACAATTAAACATAATTTCCATAAAACATCTGCACACAGCAGTAAGAAAATAATGTAATAACATAATTTGTATCAAAACATGATACCTGCAACATGTTAAAATGCTTAATGCATGTTTTTTTGGGTAATTTTTGTCTAGATGACCATTAAACTGTAGTGGTGTGTATATTCCAAATGGTGGCAAAGAGTGCATTTATTTTGGATTTTTGAATGGGTATATTTCTGTATTTGTCACGTAGAGCTATTTCACATAAAACATATGTGAAATAGTATATTGTGTCCATTTTTTAATGGACACAATAACCCTAACCCCATAACAGGGTTACATAACTAAATCTTAATGTTGTTTACTCTGTATCACATGGTGTGTAGATTTGACTTTTTCTTATTCTTGAAGAGCCAGTTTGATGTATTAGTTCGTGAATAAAGCACTTACAAAACAAGTCAAATGTACACATAGCGAATATGTAATTTTATTTTCAGTGTTTTAACAAGAAAACTGATCACCATGCCCAAAGTGTCTGCTTAAAAAGCTAAGCTACACATTCATACATGTCCACAGTAAACAAAGCATAAGCAGTACACAGCTTTTTGTGACACCACTCAGGTTTTTTTAAATTCCAAATTTATTAAGATGATGTAATAAATCGATAAATATAAAAAAAGATTAACCCAAAGAGTGTGATTGTTTTCACCAGTCCGTTGATGTACCTGTTCAAGACTCACTTGACAATTTCTTCAACATGGTCACAGTCCAGGTGCATTGAAACTCGAGCTGCAGACTTCCTTCCTCCCGGGATTACTTTCTCAACATGCCCTCAGGTCATACGAGCATGCTGGCCAGTAAGCTTGTTGATTGTAATCTGTGCTGGGGGGGCTGCTGGTGTGTAGGTTATTGTTCTTTGGCATCAATTTTCAAATCAAAGCCCCTGCCTCAGAGGCAGCCTATTTGAGTTAATGTATAAAAATCTTTGTGTGTTTAGAGTTCCTTTGGCTTGCCTCTGTACGCGTTCATGCCCATGCATATGTGACTGGTTAGGCATGTGTGTGGTCTTCGTAATATGAGGATTTTCTTCCCCCTGTGGTGATGGATGTACAGATCACTTTCAAAGAGCAAAGATTCGTTCCCCCCAGTGAACAAATCGTTCCCAGCAGAGAGCAGGCCGTCAGTGAAAGCAGAGCTTTTCAAACACATCAAAAGCCCTTGTGTGTTTTTAAAGCCGTGCTGAGAACAGAAGTGTAACGCAAAGACTCTTTATATGCTTTAACCCTAGAAATCAAAAAGCAGGTAAATTTCCAATGTATGACGATTAACTTTGAAAAAACCATCTTTGGAAGTATTTGCAACCAACTATTGATAAAAGAAACCTTGTTAAACAAAATATTTCAATAAAAGTAGTTGACACATTACTTGAAGGCAAAAATAAAAAGATGTTTACTTCTCTGTCAAAGTGCATGCTATTTACTCATTGCAGCATATAGATGTCTGCCTCTGAAGTTAATTAAATTGTCCTTGCCCTGATTTGACTTATTCATATTTTCCATTTCTAATAAGGGACGTTGACGTCAATGCAAAAACCACTGATGTTGAAATCAGCACACATGAGGCTTCTGTTAGAGCCTCCTGTGTCCTTGCTGTTAGAAAATGTTGTTCTCTATTAGTTCCTTAAATGTTACTATATCTGTAAGAAAATCTAATATTTGCTGTTATATAATGTACAGGGTCTTGTGAAGAAAAATAAATTTTTATTGAACAGAAATATCATGTTACCAGGCCTAAAATAAAACGTGAAACCTGACTATATAAAATGCCCAGCCAAACTTAGGTTTCACACTGTCCACATTCTGCTTGCTAAAATGTGGGTTAAACGAACCAACGTTGCATCCATGGTTATTAATTGGGTTTGGTGTATAATGTTTGCTTTACGGTTCGGTTTGCAGTACTATTAAAAACGGAGAACTGTGTATCTTAACTGGGGTAACGGCTGATCTCTGGAGAGAATCACAGCTGCCACCAATATTTTGCTAAGAAGGAAAAAAAAAAGTTCTGGTTGCTTGAGTTTGATTTTGTTACACAGTTCCTCAAATCCATGTTGCCACTGTACATACAGGCTCAGATATGCACTGGTATTTTGTTAAATGTTGCCTCGCAGGTTGTTTGTTGATCACATGAGTGACTGTATCCACAGTCAAGCTTTTGTTTTTGTTACAAGGGTGTAGACTGAAATAAGGAAAGTGATTAGTTTGACCATCTCCCCTGATTGACAGACTTTATATCTGTATGACTGAGGCAACAGAGGTAGGAGTTTGTCTTGTAACTGGTGTGTTGCTGGGTTGGATCACTGACGACCCGACGCTCTGTCTGTCACATGCCTTGATGCCTTTTGGTGGCGGTCAGAGGGCCTGTGCATGGTGCACACGGTGCATGGCAGCCTCTCTTCTGTTAGACTGTCCCAAACTGTGGCTTCAATGTAGTTCCCACCATTAGCATGTGAATGTGAGAATGACTGAATGCAGTGGAAAGCGCTTTGGAGTCCTCTGGCTTAGATAAAGTGCTGCACACAGGCCATTTATTATTACCTCAACACAAATACAAACATTTGGGAATGTCAGTTGGATGCACTGCCTGGCATCAGATATGTTGGTGTAAATCTAAACTCAATTTGTGGTTTTGTTAAGTTTTCTTTGGAACTTTACAATGCACTATTAGGGAGAACGTTGGTTTTGTCATAAAAGTCTTTCTCCATCAAATGGCCTGTACTTGTTGATCTTATTGTTTTGCTCTAATGATGTTACTAAAATTGTGCAAAAGGTCAAAGCTTCGTTCTTTTTTCCATTATTTCAGCCTGAAAGCAATCGAAGGGAGATTACACAAACCGTCCCTTTCCCTGTGAGTGCCTCTCTTTCCCCCTCTCCCTGTGTGATCTGCTCAGTGCTGCCGACTGTGTTGGACTCCGGAGCGTCTGTCCGACCTGACGCACTCTTGTACCAAAGCGCAGCTGTCACCATTACTTCATGCTTATTGGCCCAATACCGAGAGAGGCAGAGGCTGAGCAAAGGCAAACAACGGGGGAGAGAGAAAGAGCCGGACCCCTGCGCTCTGCTCCATCGATCTGCAGAGGTGCACCGAGGATCCTCTAAAGGACGCTGGGAACGGATTTCTGAGTTTTTTTGGGGGGTTTTCTGGAATGCCAAGGTGGATCCGCCGTTCGGAACATGATGCTGCTGGGAAATTTGGTACGGTAAGACTGTCACAGTTTTGTGTTTGAGTCCCATATCGCTGTGTTGTAGTTCTCATGTGCATGTCCGAAGGTTTCCCAGCTCCCCCCTGCACAACAACCGCCCCAAAACAGAGATAGCGCTGTTGGAGAATTGACATATCGACCTGCCTGCTCTTTACTGCCTCACATCAGAAACATTTTCAGGCTTTGCTTCAGCAGAAGGGACAAATTACATAATCCCTCCTTGGATGAATATGAATTATGGAGCAGGGATGACTGGCTGCTGTTGTTCTGACTCAAGCTGAGCAAGAAGTGTGACGGTGATGGATTGCTTCAGTGTTGCTTCATGTCAGCAACTACACAGATGTGTTTACCTGGGGGAGTTAAAGGTAAACACAAGCTGTAGGTTAATGGTTAGACTGTGGGTGACCTCCTTTCCGTGTACCACAGCGTGGGTTTGATCAGGATGAAACATTTAATTCATATTATTAATGCAGTAATGGTAATAATTAACTAGCAACCTAACTGTATGTGTCATAAAAAAAAGTTTTTATGGCCTTTTAAAATTAAACAGGTATAGAAGTTCACTTTTTAATTGCCGTGTGGTTGTTTTTTCTTAATTTATTTTATGTATTTGTTTTTTTTATTTATTTATTTAATAGGATGTAGCCTATATTAATTGTAGCATCTATGTCTTAAATGTCATTTCATCAGTCAGCCTGCAAGATTCACAAACATTTTATGCAGTGTTTCCTAAAGTTGGGGTCACAGTCAACTAGGTCTTGAGATGCTTTTCAGTAATTAAAATAAATAACGATGATGATGATGGTGAAGCATGTTAATGCTATAAAGCAATAACCATAAATAGATACTCAATTCAAATCAACTCTATTCAAACTTCATTGAACACACAGTCTCCTGCTCCACAGGTATAAAAAAATAGAAAAGAAGAGAGCGAAAAAGATACAAGTTACATACTGGCTGTTGATTATGCCTGAGCTGTCTTTATATGGCCTGTACTTGTGCAGCGCTTTATCAAGGCCAGAGGACCCCAGAGCCTTCCACACTACATTCAGTCATTCACACGTTCACGCACACAGTCACACAGATGGTGATAAGGTACTACATTATGGCCACAGCTGCGCTGGGGCAGCCTGACAGAAGCGTGTATTTGTCTGTTTAGTTGAATTGCTGTTTGTGAGTCAGAAGTTGTGAAATGTTGAAACAACTGATTAAAAACTGTGATTTCTCAAACGTCTTACAAGTGTCACCTCTATAACTACCTAGTACGGCTATTGCTCCAAGTTCTGTTGCAAGCTTTGCAACAGAACTTGGATTTTTCAGCAATGCTGACCTAAAAATCCAACGTAGCCCTCATCTATATAAAAACATCTGTCGATATCTATATCAAAAACTGTTTGCAAATACCAGACTGTACAATGTCCTCCAGTCATCACATTGTTAGAGGTTTTGAACTCATAAAAGGCCATTAAAATTTACTGTTTCAATCTGTTTTACTTATCATAGTTAGTCTGGTCACTGATCAGAAAAATACTCACAAATCCCACATGTTTTTTCAACTTGAACCGGGAACTCAGATAAGCACATGTTCCTGGTTATTCTGTTGTCCACCTCAGTTTTTGCTGAGAGTTTTGGATGTTTTTCTTCTCCACTTTTCTTTTGGGTATTTTGTGATGAAGAAAAGCCCAGTGTTCTTTAATAGATTTTTGGGCTGCATCACAGTTTGTTTGTTTTTAATTACATAGCAGTACAAGTGGTACTTGTACCATTGCTTGAGAACAATGGATTTAAAGAAAGTCAGGGTTCTGTAATGGAAAAAGATAATGGTTCTTAATAAAATAAATGTTCTTGCCCAATAGGATTTTAGTTGGAAACCGCCTGGAGATGCATCTGTAACACATTTCCCAAGAAAATGTGTTCAAGCTGTGATTCCGCATCACTGAATCTGTAACTGTATCATTGTGTCTTAGTTCCTGAACTGAGAGTGTTCATTGTGTCCAGCATGTTGCTGGACCACTGGACTGATTCATCCTGAGGAAAGTTTTTAAAACAGATTATGTGAGTACCAAGTTGTAGCTTCTGAAAATCTGAACTTGCTCAGTTACTATGTCAGCATCACTGACTGCTAAGGGGAAGCTGAGGTGTTTAAGATCTCTCTGAAAACTGATCCAAACACAGTTTCCAAATAGGCCATTTTAGAAGTTTGTGAAAATGGCTTCCAATCAAAATCTCATTTAGTGAGACCTAGCAATAAATTAATCAATAAATTAATAAATAAATAAGAAAAAAAAGTCTGTTTTGCAAGGATTAGTTAGATAAGAACCTGCACACTTTCCACAAAGCAAATTAAGGCCATGTTACCATCCAGGGCTTTAGTAGCAAGTTCAAGTTGAGTTGTTGAGAACATTTGCAAAAGTCACAACTTTAGAGCAATAGTAAGAAAAACAAAACAAATCTCAGCTTGCATGAGGAAGTTTCTTTCAAAAACTTAGTCTAAGCAACACAAACACAAATATCTGATAATTTTAGTACAAAATGATAATAGACTATAATCATGCTAATTTTGTTGCAAAAAAAAAAGTTAAACCAAGACTTTCACTGTTTGATGTTACCGCTAATGCTTTGGTCTGTAATGTAAGACCAAAATTGGGACATATTTTGTTTTGTTTATAAAATGTAATGCCTTCAAAAGGGTGCAGAACTTCATAATCCTCACAATTCGTTCAAATATTGTGAGGAAAGCTTCCACAAATCATTATGCAACTAGGCCACTACTCACTCAGTAACAGGCATAATGATGAAGAGATAATGTCTTAACGTAAAATAACGCAGACTGAAAAGAAATATAAGAATTTGTGCTTCTTGCAGATCGTGTTGGTGTTCTGTCTTTGGGGGACGGATGTCAGCAGAGCTCACATATTTGAAGCCACACGACCTGGAGACGGAGACAACATATCACCTGTCACTAAACGTAAGAACAGATGTTTCCCTCGCTCTCTCTCCCACTATCTTCAAGGTTATACTTTCATTAATCAAATTTTTGATTTGATATTCTTAATTTTATCACGGCACAACTAATTTCAGTTCTCTTATCAATCAATTTGCTCTTTGAACAGATGGTATTTATTCATTTTAAGCAGCATTTCTAGCTCTTCTGCTCATTACTCAGAAAAATGAACAAAGTAAAAACATCACTCGTGGATATTTGGAAATAATTTCAGTAAATAGTTCAGATGAGCTAACACAATTTTCTGATGACTAGGATGTCAGCTGTTGTTTCTCATTTTGACTCTCTATCCCTTACAGTTGTGTCAGAGTGGGTCAGCACAGCAGGATCCTGTAAAGGGAGGTGCTTTGAGTTGGAGGTGGCAGATCCTCCAGGATGCAGATGTGACAATCTGTGTAAAACTTACCTCAGCTGCTGCTCGGACTTCGATGCTCACTGCCTGAAAACAGGTCAGTATTACTCACAATTACACATCCACTCTCACCCCTCCTTGTTGTTTTTCCTTAATCCAAAGATACACTGACCAGCCACTTTATTAGGTACAGCTATGTGTAGAAATAGTACAGAAAACAATACATTTTGGGTTAAGGTATTCAAAATGCCAAAGATCACACCGAAAGCTGCAAATGTCAGTTAAGAACATGAAACTACGGCCACTATTCAAATTTAACAGTAACAAAAAGGATAAATATTTTCTGGTCTAAAAATCTGAAATTCAGCTCCAACGCCTATGGAAATGTCAGAATTTGACATAACCAACATAAACGTATGGATCCATCCTGACTTCAACAAGTAGTTTTGGCTGTAATATTGACATACATTTTTAATCTGATGCAACCAGTAGCTGAGGTCTCTTCTTTTCCCCTTTAACAAAAAGACATTGGTTCATTGGGTCAAATTTTTCACCATGTAATCTATTTCTACTCTATTTTGGAATCGTTACAGCCAATGAGGCAGAGGGAGGTTTTTAAATTAAGAAATAAAATGGTTGATTGATGATTAATTTGGCTTCCTCTCTTAGCGGGGGGGTTTGAGTGTACACCTGATCGCTGTGGGGAGGAGAGGAATGAAGACCATGCCTGCCACTGTTCTGATGATTGTTTAGAAAATGGAGACTGCTGTTCTAACTACAAATCCACATGCAGCGGTATGTATAATTTAAAATTTTTGCTCGAAAAACAGGATTTAATTTATTCCTGATTCAGAACAATTAAAAGCTTGTCATTTCTTTCAGATGAGACTTCATGGTTGGAGGACAGCTGTGAAGAGATCAAGAGTCCTGAATGTCCTGCAGGGTAAAATTCATATGCTGGATATATTACACTGAACAGGTCGGGAGATGTTGACCTGGTCAGAAAGTGTTCTTCTATAAGTTGACACTGAGACACCAATGTTATTTAATACAAGCAAAATATTTGTAATTCAAAAGGTTTATGAAAAAAATATTATATTGACTTAATTGCAATGGGTGTGGTATAATAATGTGCAGCTGGGGCTAAGATTTAGTTCAGGCTTCTTGATGTTCGTTGAAGTTACAGAGTCCAAAACAAAAGTCTTCAAGTTAAGACTTTTTCTGACCTGAGGATAAAATCAAATCAAGAGTACGTCAATGTTTGTGGTTTGGGCATCTGGGCAACACACATGAACATTAAAATAAAGACTTGCTTATATTTAGGCAGTGCATGCTAAGAAATCTGAAAAGTAATTTTAAAAACATTCTTATTTTATTCGGGCTACAACACACAGCATCGATGGAGAGATACTCAGTTCAAATATATTCAGTTCTGAGCTGGTTAAAGAGGAGGACAAAAATAATTGCTTGCTTTCAAAGCAACTCAACTCTTAAAATTAAAAGCTATCCCTGCTCTTTGGCCAGACTTCCACAGGAAGCTAAAATGAGACATAGATAAGAAGAAAGACACCGTCCATATTTTGGTTTTGAGGCAAAGACCACTGATGAGCAAAGCAGCACAAAGAGCCAACTCACACAAATCATCTTGATGGCATTTACTTAAATCTAGCTTAGTAAAGGCCTCTTCCTTTCTGAGTGGCCTTTCAGCTCATGTTGATACAGGGACCAGAGTCACAGTACATGTTGACACTGTCTTACTAGCTTCAGCCAGCACCTTAACAAGGTGTTTGGCTTGTTTTTTTTTTCTTACTTTCTATTCTGTCGAACAAGAAAGCAGTGTGTTCAAGGTGAGGCCTTAAAGAAAAACTGCCATTTTTCATTTTTTTTTATTTTTGTACTTTACAGTTTCGTCCGTCCTCCTCTCATCATGCTGTCTGTTGATGGGTTCAGAGCGTCCTACATGAAGAAGAGCAAATATGTCATCCCTAACTTACATAAACTCAGTATGCTTCTATTCTACTCTTTCTGCATGTTTCTGGGAGAGAAAATGTGTCTTTGTTTTAATTTTCCATATTGGGAACAACTTTTTTGCAGAATTGGTTTTCCTGTCTTTTTCCCAAAGCAAATCATTTGTTTTGTTTCAGGATCATGTGGTGTGTCACCTCCGTACATGCGACCCGTCTATCCATCAAAGACATTTCCAAATTTATACACCCTAGCCACAGTAAGCGATGTTCCATAATGCTAAGTAAATTGTTTGAATTTCTACTTTGCAAAACTCTTGTGGAATGGATACTAAAGCCAGGCTGTTAATGAATACCTTTATGTTTGAAAGCTAAGTACAAACATACTGTATGTTTGTTTCTGTCCAGTTTACTTTTATGGTCTGTTCATGTTGTGACATTGGTACAGGCCTGATTTTTGCCTGCACTGACATAACACTGTGGGGTTTATCTGCAGGGTCTGTACCCAGAGTCCCATGGAATTGTGGGAAACACCATGCATGACCCAGTGTTCAATGCCACCTTCAGCCTACGCACAAGAGAAAAATTAAACCATCGCTGGTGGGGTGGACAGCCAGTGAGTACCGCTCACATACTAGTTAGTTTGCTTCAGGCAAAGTGCTGCCCAAATATCTCCACATCAACAATAATGATATGTTGATTATTACACCACCATGTTTGTAGATGATAGTACAGTTATTGCAATGATGCAAAAACTACACTGTTTTTGCATCATTGCAAAATGATGCAACATCAGATTTGCACAATATTGTGCAAAACTGGTGTTTTGCACAATATTTCAGTGGATGCCTCTTTGGTCAGAAGAGTCTGCCCGACTAAAGTGCTAACAATGTTGGGTTCACCAGTTGGGTGATTTACCAGTCACCAGATTCTCCAAACAGTGGTTGCATACATTTTTGCCATGTATCTGCTCATGTTACAATTTCCTTGTGTGAGTGGAATATTGTGTTTTTGCCATCTTGTATTTTGCAGATCTGGATTACAGCAGAGAAACAAGGAGTGAAAGCAGGAACGTTCTTCTGGCCGTGGTACATTAGTACAAAATGTTTTTGAATTGTTTCAAAAATCACTGTTCTTTTTAAATACTATTTCCCTAAAATAGTTTAACTTCTTCAATCTGTTGATTTTTCCAGGGTGATTCCTCTAGAAAGAAGGATTTTGACAATTCTCCATTGGCTGACACTTTCAGATCAAGAGAGGTATTTTCAACTCTTCTTCAGAAGTTTGTGTAATTGAGTACAACATTTTATTCATTTTCAAATTATATTTACTAAAGCCTCATATTTATGGTAATTGACAGTTTTACTTGTTTACCGCTTCCGTAAACTTTAAGCGTTGCAATCTCAGCCAGAAAAATAAAAAAAAAATAAAACTAGTTTCTAGATGCAGAAGGATGTACCCCATTTAAACCTCTTCAAAAATCAAGGTTGCTTCTTTGACATCAAGCATTCCTTACAGTCAAGTATGTGGAAAAGCTGAATGACTTTGGAGTGGTTTTGTTTTTGGGTGCCACAACAAAAACTAGTTCTAGTCCAACATTTTTTTGTAATTTAGCATTGAAAATCCTCTTAAAAATCAATAAGGCATGATAAATCACATGCAATCAGTTGGGAAAGATGAAAGGAACTCAGGCTTTCAAACAAGTTTGGCAAAGGACTTTTCTTGTCTTACTGAACACAAAATGGCCTCATATCAAAGATAATTTCCAATTAAACAAAATGAGTAATTGTGTTATTCTTTAGGCCCTATGTTTATGCAGTCCACTCCGAGCAGCCGGATACCTTTGGCCATCGCTTTGGACCACTCAGCAGTGAGGTACGAAAGAAAGATTCAGAAAATGTCTCTGAAATAAGACTTTTTTTTTTTTTTTTTTCTCAAACGGTTTAATCATGTTTTTGGTCCTCAGCTGGACAACCCTTTGAGGGAAATTGACAACATCATTGGTCAACTAATGAACGGACTGAAGCAGATGAATCTGCACCGATGTGTCAATGTCATCATTGTAGGCGATCACGGTACTCCCTGACCTCCTTCTGATTTTGTTGTTATTGTTTAAAAGCGGACATAACACAAATTAAATTTGGTTGTACATTTCAAAAAATTTACAAGAGACTTTGATTAGATTTTTTTAAATCCAAGAAGTAAAGCAATTTCTCAGTTTATTATTTTATTAGCAATGAACTTGAATGATTTATTAGTAACACCAAATACATACATGTGACTTAATGTTTCTGACAGGTATGGAAGAGGCCCATTGTGACAGGACAGAGTTTCTCAGCAACTACCCTCTAAATCTCGACGATATCATGCTCATCCCGGGCTCCATTGGTAGAATTCGCCCCCGTAACCCTAAATCCACCACATGTAAGATGAGAATGATTGGAAATAAGTATAGATATAAATTTTTAAAAAATAAAATCATTTTTTCTTTTTTCAGATGACCCAAAGGTTGTGGTTGGAAACCTTACTGTAAGTATGACGACATAAGAGTTCGAAGCATCTGTGACTGGCCACGATAAAACCAGGAGCAAGTCTCCCTCGGGGTATTTACAGATTCTGGAAGTGTGGATTTTAAGCTTTCCAGTGATGTAAATCGCGTATAAATAAAATAAAAATAAGAGGACATGGCCATTTGAATGTTGGCAGACTACTAAAAAGATGAGGGAATAAGCAACCATCAGAGTTTTCAAAAGACCCCAAACCTGATGAGTTTGTTCCTGGTTTTGCGTCACATATTGAACAAAAGGATGATGTTCAGTAAATAAGCATTTACTGAGGAAAAATAGGTTCAAGATGTTAAACAGCAGGCTTTCTGTTTCAGTGTAAAATGCCTACTCAGCACTTTAGACCATACCTGAAGCACCATTTACCCAAGAGGCTTCACTACGCCAACAACCGCAGGATCGAGGATGTCCAGCTTTTGATGGAGCGGAAATGGCACATTGCTAAGTAACCTGACACAAAGTTATACTGCAATGTAGGAAGATATTAAAGCTCCAAAAACTGAAGACTTTGTACCAGATTTAACATTTGAATCAAAGATCTTGTAACATCTTGAATATCAAATACTAAATTTCATTCTGTGTTCTCTGTAAATTTATATAAATCAGTTTTGCTTTATGGCACTGATTTTCAGTACAGAAAAAAAACATGTTTTTCAGGAAACTGCCAGAAAAACCAAGATCTCGGTGCGGTTTCTCTGGTGACCATGGCTTTGACAACAAGATAACAAGCATGAGGGTAATGAAGTTTTATACTTTTTCTCCATTTTACACAACGCTCATAAAGATGTCAGGTAGAATGTTTGATCACGGGATGAAATGAAGTCACAGGTCACTGTGAGAGGGATGGCAGAATTGGAGAGAGATTGGCCTAGAAATTCAACATGTGCCTGTGTTTAAAGCTCAGATTAAAACTACAGATCTAAATAAAACCAAATAAATCATATTTCCCATTTTTGAGGAGTGCACTTTTGTGATTTAGGCTTTCTCTCCTTGTATGCAGACAATCTTTATTGGCCATGGACCAAGTTTCAAGTTCCAGAAACGTGTCCCAGAGTTTGACAATATAGAACTATACAACGTCATGTGTGGTAAGAACACATTTCCCCCTTAATAAAGAGGATTGAACTAGAACTTAACTGTGTTTCACTGTTTCACTGTTAATAAGTTAAGTGATAGAAACCCTTTGTAAGAGACACAACAACTGAGCTGTTATTTTGATCTTTTCATTAGTACTTTGTTAGGTACAACAGTATATTCATCTCTGATTGGTTGATGTGTAGCACTTTAGAAAATATGACAACATGCATCATAAATAATTTTGCATGATAATTATTTGATTCTTATTTTAGATTTAACAAGAAACTTGCATTCTTAAATATAAGCATCAGGTGAACACTTTCATCCACTTACCAAATCTTCTAGTCCTTGTATTTGTCTCTGATGACAGACTTGTTGGGGTTGGAGCCAGCTCCTAACAATGGGACACATGGTAGCCTCAATGACATGCTGAAGGATCCGCCCTTCCTGCCCACCATGCCAGAGGAAGTCACACCTCCATCACCGGCGTCTGACTCCAGCCACGCAATGATTCAAGACCTGGGGTGCAGCTGTGAGGATGAGGTTAGGAGAGGACTTTGGAAAGAAAAGATAAAAGAATAAATTAATAGATAACTAAGTGAAAAGCAGTCACAATTCAGGTAATCAGTACTTTTAAAATGAGTTTCCATGTGCCTGTTCTTTCCTTCCCCGTCCAGAACAAGGTGGAGGAGATAATTGAAACCTTTACCCCTGCACCAGATGGCACCTACGGTTACAGTGAGTTTCCTATCCTCTGACAGTTATGAAAATATTCCTTGTGGAACAGCGGAGAATGTTATGACATGTGTTATTGTCACAAAGTAAAGGAATAAATAAATAAATAAATAAATAAATAAATAAATAAATAAATAAATAAATAAATAAATAAATAAATAAATCCTGGGATATTTAAATTTAACCATGAATGTCTAATAATATTTCCAGCAAAAACTCCAGCTCCTCATATTTTTACAGTGTTGAAATGATCTATGATTGCACTTTTTTTTCCTGTGCAACATCAGCATATGTTCCATTACGAAAATGACAATATTCCACCGCACGATAGGGAGCAGAAAACATTCATGCCGTCAATTTCTTGCACAATGTTTGGGGATTTGTTGCCCAACCTTTCATCAGCACATCTATGAAATCCTTCCCTGACTTGCTTTGATCTTGCAAAGTTTCAGGATGTCTTCGGATTCCTCGATGGCCGTCAAGTCAAGATGACTGAGACATGTTACACAAGAAATTGTCCCCAGCATTACCTGAAAATACAGAAATAAATAGAAGATAGAATGGAAATGTGCTGGTGGATGGACTTTGTGCCCTGCCTCATGCAGTCAGACAGTGAGTTACCTGGTTAGCCTCCAGGTTGCCCCCAGGGCACAGACCTTAGAGTTAGTAAATACTTGACTGTAGATTTTTGTTTTTTCCCCAAGACCACCTAAGGTATCAGGAATTGATTATTCCGGTAATTAAGTGATCAAATTATGATTTATAATTTAACCAAACATCTGTGATGTAGTTTTATGTTTTTATATTTTTAGACACCACCCATCTTCCATTTGGTCGCCCAGCAGTGATGTTCAGTACTCAATACAGTCTACTTCATCATGTGGAATTTATCAGTGGATACAGCAAAGAGCTGGCCATGCCACTCTGGACAGCATACACACTACCCCGACAGGTACACGCACACACACACTCACACACACACACACACTCACACACACACACACACAGACTCCATAGCACTCTGTGGCTCATAAAAGTTCTTTACAACCTCGATAAATATCCCATGTTGTGTGCAGATGGAAGCTGTCAACCGAAGTTACTGATTAGAGATTTGTGACAGATTTCTGATCTATGAGGCGATAGCATGACAAATGAAACTGACCATGATAAAGCTGACAGCATTAAAAACATCTTTTACTAGTCTTCCCCCTCTCCCCTCGTGTACGGGATCTGCTAACTGCAGCTCTTAAGAACCACCATAGTGTTTTTTTTTTTTTTCTAACTACAAACCAAGAAATGCTTTTAGAAAAATGACTTGTGTTGGGCATTTTTGTGTGTTTTTGACAGTTTCTGCAAAGTTTTTATACAACAGGACTAAACAAGTGGTGCATTTAAATTTGTTATTAGGGGACAAGCTGACCTTCATCAGATTAAATATTTTTTGTAAATGCCTACGAAGCAGAAATTAAGCAGATTTTTCAAACCACATTTCTGTTAAACTACCTTTTTCATTAGCTTGATGTAATGTTCCAGTCTAAAATGTCATGGTTTCATTACCTTTAAGTTGAAAAGCCTTATAACTAATAGAGCTAGAGGTTTGAAAACACTAGTCACCAGTATAATTATTCCATATGTTTAAGTTTTACGCAACATTTAAAAATCAATAATATCCTAATTGAATAAATATGACTGTAGAATTAAAGAGATGAATTCTTTAGTTGACATCTAATGTGACAAATATACCATTGTTCAGCCTACAAAAATCAAATCTAAATAGTCTTTTGCAGTTATTTCCATGTCCTTTGCAATTTTTTGATGCACAAATTGCTATTGTGATAATTGCACATTACCTGGACAATTTCACATTTACTTGTTTAAAAACAAATGCAACTATAACATTGTCATAATTCTGTTTGGAGGCCATTTAGCTTTGATGGCTATTGTGAACAGAATGTTTAGATGCTTTCTATCAGCTTTCTTTCTTTTCAAATTAGACACAGATTGTGCCACATTAGGAGGCAAAATCTGTGTTGTCATATTGATGTAGGTCTGTATCGTGTCTAGATTGGCAAGAGGAGAAACAACTAAATAAAAATGATCTATTATTGCTACTGGGTTTATTACCTTAAAACTAAAAGATTGTGAGAATGATTGGCCCTTTTGACACATTTTCTCTTAAAATGAAAAAAACAAAAAAAAAACAAATTAGTTTTGAGTACATTGCAGTTGTGCTCTGTGCACCTCTTTATCCAGCTTTTATCTCTTTTCATCCAATTATGCTGAGTTATAAAAAAACAAATTAGTGTGTAGTAATAACACATTGCATCTGTTTTTATGACTGACATCATGCTTGAGTCATAGCAGAACATGGAGGTCGCATAAATGTAATCATGAACTCCTACCACAGTGAACTGACACAGCGGACACGTGTTTCCCTCATGTTTATGCAGACGTGTTGCAGGTTTACAGGAAACATCTGCTCACTCCTTGGTCATGCTGAAATACACACTTTCACACACAAATGCCTCTAAAAAGACTGGGGCATGAATCCAGAAGTAACTGGTTGCTTTTTCACTGCCCTTGTCTGCTTTTAGTTTTCTTTAGGCTCCCCATCAATTTGGAGATGACTCCCTCTTGTATTTCTCTCTCTTACTTAGTGTCGTTTTTTTAACAGGAGGATTTGACTCCCATACCGGATGTTTCTCCTTCTGTTAACTGTATCCGAGCTGACCCAAGAGTTTCTTCAGTTCACAGTCAGAGCTGCACAACGTACAACCAGAACAACCACCTCACTTATGGCTTCCTCTTTCCTCCAGGTAAAACTCCATGTTATATGGTGCATACTCATTAGATTTTTCAACTCCTTCATTGCAATTACGGGGGGTTATTTAAAATACAAGCATTCAGTGAGCAACAATATATTAAACTATTCTAAAAATGTTTTATGTCAACAGAACTAGCAACATCTCCAGAGTCAAGATATGATTCTTCGCTCATCACCAACACCGTTCCCATGTACCCCGCTTTCAAGAGTAAGTTAGAGCCTTAAAGTGAAAAATAAGATTTAATGTAGCACTTTTGATTGCAGCAAGAAACAAAATGTGGTTATTATGTGTGATATGCTTAGAATCTCACATGATTTCTAGTTTTAACAGCCTACATAACTATAAAAGTTCTGTAAAAACAAAAAAAAATAAAAAAATAAAAAAAACAAGAAAGATGTTTAGGAAAGAAAATTGGGATTTTTCATGTACTTTGTCACATGTCTTGTAACGACTTTTCAAAATGGGAATGATAGGAGGACAGTTCCAAAACCTGCCCATATCTACTGTTGTGGAAAGAAACTGTTTTACCAGGCACTGCCAGGTGAAATCACTCAATCAGGTTTATTCATATATTGTGCACAATACAGAGAGCTTGTAGGACAAACAATAATGAAGCAGGTCTGGGTGAAAAGCTCTGGCAGGCAGAGACAACACGAGTTTTATACCAAGGTAAGGAATTCAAAACATGGGAGAGACGGTCTGGTTCCCTTGCAGCTGCAGGAAAACAACTCCCAACCTTGTGTGTGCAGCCCAAACAGGTTGTTTTGATGAGAGTTCACAAGCATTTCATATGACATGATCAGCAGATGTTAACTTGTAGTAATTTTCCACCACACTATCAGTAGTGAAATCAGTAAAAATTTAAAACTGGAACTGGGACTAACAAGGCTGGATGAGAACCCACGTTTAATTTTCCACCATATGCTGTATGCAAAACGCCATTGGGATTCTGGGATGTGTGCCTTTGGTCAGGTGATACTGAGATTGACATAAAATAAAGGCAGGGACTGTTAGGTGCAGTGGACGTCAATCTGTTATGATAAAAGGAAAAAAAAAGTGGACATTCATTAATAGTGATAATAATAATTAGGAAAAAATAAGAGATGTAGGCCTCTACCTAATTGTGTAACAGAGGAAATGCATGTATCAAATTCAGTGCAATCTGAATTGCTGAGTTTGACAAAGGAAATGTTGTTTTTCCTTTTTAAGGCTTGGTGGGTTTGAGTCTCCTCCTTTCCTTTGCATCAGTGACATTCATTGGTATCACATGAGGCAGAGGACAGAAAGGCGCTGACATCAGGTCTGAGTCAGGACATACTGATACCCATTGTTTATGAAGAGAGAGAGGACTTATCAGGACACAACACAGCCTCTGTCTTTCAACCACTGTCCAGTTCAGCCGCAAATAATTTATTATAGACATCAGGTCTGTTTGTGTGGAGGGGTGGGTTGATTCTTCATCAGGGCAGTAAAAGGTTTTTCTTTTTTTTTACTCGTCATTTAGGTGAGATTTAGTGGCGTCACATAAAACAGAAAGAAAATTGGTGACATGAAGTCTGAGTGAGGACAGGCTGATACCCGTTGTTTATGTGGGGAGAAAGCAGTTATCAGACTAAACACTGACTCTATCTGAAATCCTGCCTTATGCAGACAGATCATTTATTACCGTCATCGGATCTGAGTGTGTGTGTGTGTGTGTGTGTTGGGTCAGTGGGGGTGTAATGGTTTTGGAGTTACACTGCAAAACTGTTCCGAAAGATTACATTTCAGAGCTTCCACCATGTGAAGTTGTAAATACTCAGCCCCTCATTTGCAGTCTTTTCAGGTTGTGTCTTTTCGTACAGTTGACAAATTGCAGATTCGATGTTGCAATGTGTAGCCATTAATCCTTGGGTGAGGTTTTATGACGGCTGTGGTTTTGAAACACTTAGATGGTCGATGCTGCAAGATGTTTGATCAATACAAGTGAGGAACAAGTGGCTCCATGGATCATTCTGTAAACAAAAGACACATTTCACTAGTTAACCATGAAAGAACTGCATTTCACTTTTACCAGATGTGGGTTGTTGCTTTTATTTGAAGATGATTATGTCGAGTAAAGTGATGCTACTCATCACTACTCTACCCACTTCACTTTGCTAAATTTCGAAAGAGCAGATTTTAATAAAACTCTTCTGTTCAACATGAAGGTTGATTTCTAAACACATGGTAAGTTGTTTTCGCTTTCATTTTTTTTGTGTGCATACAGGAATATGGAGCTACCTCCAGGGGACGCTGTTGAGACGTTACAGTGAAGAAAACAATGGCATTAATGTTCTCTCTGGGCCCATCTTCGACTATAACTACGACGGCCTTCGAGACACCACAGCGCAGATTAAAGAGTATGTTTTTAACAGCAGCTCCTACATGTGGTGACAAACATCCTGTTTGAGAAGGATGAAATTGGGAAAGTTTGCCAATTTGGGAGGAAAAAAATAATAATTACAGAATACAAAAGCATATAAAGAATAAGAAGATTTCTAATTCAAAAAGTCAGTTATAACTTACAGATTAATAAGAAAGAAATTAAGAGAGGATCAAGACTTATGAGTAAAATGAGAATAACTAAAACACCAACAAAAAAGGAAGACATCATGCAAATTTGAACTGAAATACAAGGATCTGGGATGATCTGTAATGAATCATCCCAGATTTAGCCTTTATATTCCTAAAAACGCTTTCAGTTTCAAGCAGATTGAATGAATATGTGTCTATTTAATAACCGCAAAGTAAGATACGCTTTGTTTTGAGACCATAGGTTCAAAATAGATAAACAAAAAAAGTCCAAATTTTACAACCTGTAATCTGACTTTGTGTTTGTTTTTTTCTTAAGATCTTCAGCGAATTCACCCCTCATTCCTACCCACTTCTACACGATTGTGACGAGCTGCCAGGAGATGAACCAGACGGTGGATGAGTGTGACGGGGCTCTCAAGGTGTTTTCCTTCATCCTTCCTCACAGGCCAGACAACAGTGAAACCTGCAATGTAAGTTCAAAACAACGCCAGCAGGTGGCGGCATTGGCCCGTGTACTACATGTGTTTGCTTTGCTTGTTGACAGGTTAAAATGAACAAAATCAACACGAGTATTGCACAAGTTTACCAAAATTTATTATTTTTGATGCTTTATGGAATCAAGGCTTACTTAAAAATATGCTAAAAAAAATGTGTTCAAACTGTGGGAAATTTCATGGGTTTGTACAGCTTTAGCAGAGTTCAATAAGTTTACTCAGGTTCATATTAAATTAACAGAAACTGTGATTCATATGTTGATTCACTTGATGTTTGATCCCAACAATTGCCATCCCTTTAACTCTCCCATCTAGCTCTTTGTGCAAAACCAGTAGCGTTGTGGAATTATGTCACTTTTTTTTTTTTTTAATCCAGGATTTAACTAGTCTCTGCTTGTTTCTGTTTATGCAGACACTTCATTTTTATGCATGCTGTGTGACCTTGATGCTGCCTTACATGTAGCACTGACACATTCTGCCAAACTCAAAAACTATTCTTAACCCCACAAAAGCTGAATTTTTACAAAAAAACATTTGCATTGTCATCTACAGGGTCAATATGTGAGTATTATCTTATTGTTTATGACAAATGTTGCTGAGTCTATGCCATGTGATTTAATAGTTGTTGCTGACATTCGGAGATCAGAGTTGGTCACTTTTGACAGATGCATTATCAGCGCTTTATTGCCAATGAGTTAATATATCATGTGCTCCAGAAGCATCCCAACCTGATTATCATGTGAAAGAAACCGCACAGATAAGCTACATTTGGCACAAAAATTCCTCATTTCTTTTAAAGTTGCTCTGTCAACAAAAATAAATTATGGTCCAAACTTACTTTCTTTTCTGTTAGTTTTTTTGGTGCTGTTACTTAAGTGTGGTTAAAATCTATATCAACACATCGCATGGTCTGAATTGAATTGTTGTCAGTTTATTCCATTCTAATCCAGTAACTCCTGCAGTTTCTTATATGTTTTGAACCATGTAGCAAGTTTCCATTCACAATTGTCTGCATTAAGCCAGCGCCATCTTCCCATTAATTAACTGACTTCACGGCCACTGGTGAGGAAAAGCATGCATACAACATGATGCTGCTACCATCATGTTTCTCAGTGGGCCTGGTGTGTCAAGGGTGATTTGCAGGAAGTTTTCTGCTACATGCAGCATTTTCAAGAAGTTCTGTTTTGTTCTTTGGGGACCAGAGTTCCTTCTTCCAAAATGTATTAGAACCATATTCTGTTTTTGTTGCACCTCACAATTATGCACTTCTTTGTGTTGGTGGGAATGTTATGAAATTTCAAGTACACACGGGGAAGTTAGTGGTGGTGATGTGACAAAATGTGGAACCGGTCCAAGCAGGATATTGTAAGGAGAGAGAAAATCACAGTCTTGTTTTTCCCTTATCCTGATGACTTCACTTAGAAACAATTTCTTCAGTTAGATACTCAGATAGAATTTCTTAAACAAAAGTTACTGTTAGTGGTACGACAAAAAGTGTGACTCATAGTAATGACGTTGTATTAGAGTTCACATAAGTTGGGTAATCTTTTGTTTTCAAAAGTCTTTCCTGGTTTCTGTGGTGCTTAACATTTCTGTAGGTGATGCACTTTCCTTTTAAACGCACTGTTCCCTGTTCAAATGTTGCAAAACAAAGACCTAGAATCAAATCCTTTGCAGACCAGGAGAACTTTGTGACCGCATATAAACACTTCAAATTTTGTTTGGATGTAAAAAGAGGAAAACTTTCAAAAAAGAAAAACCCAAACAAGCAAAAAAAAAAAAAAAAAAAAAAAACTTTGAAAAAAGAAAAAAAAAAAAAAACCCTTAAAAAAGGGCTG